GAAAGCTTTAGGCTCTGCTGATGTAGAGGTCTCATTTCCCAGTGGAGAAGTGCTACCAATATAGGGAAAATGATGTTTCTGAGAATAGTAAAAGAATTTTGCATTTCTAACATTTGGGATTCAATGCCACTGACCAACAGGTAGAAAAAGAGGATATACCTACTGCCTAGAGTGAACTCAATTTTCAATGAAAAATTGTGTAGGAGCTCCACAATGGGGGTTATAGAACTATGTCCAGAGTCCAAAGAATTCACTGAGCTACCTTTCATACTTAAAGGAAAACTATGTATGGAGGAGCAAACCAAAAATTCCTGAACTAGTAATTAATCAGATCCTTTGAGAAGGAAAGTTTGTGTTGCTTAGATACTAAAACCTCTGGTCAGCTGAGGTTTGGGCTGAGGGAGGAGAAACTGAATGGTGTTAGAAGAAAGCCGTAGTCACAGGCCAACTACAGACTTGGGAACAGCTATAAAAATGAGTAATTTTGCCTATTTTTGCTTAAAGCTTTATGTATATCTTTATTTTTTTTCCTAGGCATCTTACTTCCTTATACTTGCTAATAATACATTGTGTGTCATTGACTAAATTGACAAATTATTTTTAGGCATCATAATATCCAGTAGGACTGTGACAAAATCTAAGAGTAATTTAACATAGATAGAAATGGATAAAATGACTACTAGGACTCAGTTTCTGGTTTTTAAGAATGGGCTACAACTTCAGTTGTACTAAGTGTATACTTAGCTAAGTGTCACTGTAACCAATTAACCAATGTGCTGTTTACCACCTTTCTTTCTCTGAACTACAAACTCACCTTTGTGGTACTAAATCTGAACACATGAGCATGCCCACTTGGCTAACTGGCACAAGATTAAGTTTCGTAAGTAAAGAAATTCAGGACAAAAGTTTGAGTTCTGGGATTTAGCTCTTGTTCTTGCCACTAGTATAGAGAATGTAAAGGGACACAGTCCTCACCTGAGTGTGAGCGAGGGTCTCAACAGCTCCCTAAAGTGTGGCCTGTCCACAGCACTTACCAGATTCCTAATGAGAAAATTATCAGCAAATTACTATGGCTGTGCAAGAGGACTGAGCCTAGCAAGGGAGGTGATGGACTCCCTGTCAACTGCACATAGCCTAAATTCCTCAGGATCCTCTGGGGCTAAAACCCTTCACTCTCCTTTGGAGGGAGCAGTCTTTCCACCTTTGTAATGTTTTCTTGGTCCTAGAAATAGCTATTCCCTATACCTGTTATTCTTAGACTATTTAGTCTCTTTATCCCTCCTCACTTGTTAGTCACCTATTATTAGTTAATTACTCTTAAAATTTATTGTCGTCTGACTAGTTATTCATATATATATGTATATATAAAATATTAGCTTAATGAAAACAAAGACAATTTGTTTCCTGCTACATTCCCAATTGTCTAGAATGTTGGTTGCTATGCACTAACATACCAATCAATTTTTGCTGAAATAATCAAAGGATTAGCTCTTGAAATGTGGTGAAGTGACAGAGATAACAGTACAAGATGGTGTTCATGTTGTTGAAATACAAACATAAGTGGATGGGAAAGCTGTTCTCTGAGAAAAATAAGACAGGATAAATTGGATCCAGATGGACATAAAAAGAAGTTGTAGATTTAGAATATTAATGACCCATGAATTTTGAGTATTAACTGACTGAGGAGTTGCCTTAATGAACTGGCAGGTGTGCATGTGTGCATGTGTGCGTGTGTGCGTCTGTGTGTGTGTGTGTGTGTGTGTGTGTGTGATTGTTTATGAGAAGTAGCAGCTATAGGAAACAATGGGAGAGCCTGGAGAGATGGCGGCTCAGTGCTTCAGAGCACTGGCTGCTCTTTCAGAGGGCCCAGGTTCCAATCCCAGCACCCACATAGCAATTAACAACAGTGAACAGCTCCAGTTTCAGGGGATCTAACATTCTCTTCTAACCTCCACAGACATTACACAACACAGGTGCACTTACATGGATGCAGGCAATACACTCATACACATAAAATAAAAATAAATAAAATAAAATATTTTTAAAAAGGAACAATGTGAGGGAACTGTGATGTGCAAGCCCAGTTACAGTCTCCACTTCCACACCCATGACAGACAAATTTCTATCTTGCATCACTGAGGTCAGTCTATTTCACAACAATCTACTTTGCAATAGAAAATGACTACATATTTACTAGTATGTTTTTAATATAATATCTTTTTTAAAATGAGTGGAAGGTCAGATGTGGTAATATATGCAATGAATCTCAGAGGCAGAGACAGGAGGATCTCTGTGAGATTGTGGTCAGCCTGGTCTACATAATGAATTCCAGACCAGCTAAGGCTACAAGGGAGACCCTCTTTTAAAATAAATTAGAAAATAAATGAATGGAAAGAGAGATAAATAATGTTTAGGTGGTGTGAAAAGTCAAAAAAATGTATTTCAAGCCTGCCAAAGAATAAACACATAATACATATGTGAGTGCATGTGTACAGCTGATGGCTACAGAACAAAAATCACAGTGTCAGGCAAAGGAAACCTGCCTTTGAGCTGTTGGTCAGGGTAGTCCAAAAGAACCCCAAAATAATACAGACTATTGTCACAGCTCTTGATTGCCCCCCAGAACTTGATGTCAGAGCCCTACTGCTGAAGACAGGGCATACTTCAGACCAAAGATATAGAGCAATTAAGCTGCAATTGACCTGGAAGTATAGCTCTCATAGTATCAAAAGATACTATGCAAGCTGCCAGGGGAGGGAAAACTAGGAATGGTCCTAGACAGCCAAGAAGCCTATGAACCACAATGACAAGCAGAGCAGATTATCTCTACTGCTGCAATCGTAGCACTTTTATTTGGGGGATAATCAGTAGTTGTGTAATTAGGCTTAAGATACTCTCAAAAAGAAGGAGCTCACGCATGGTGCTGTAACACATCGCCAAGTACACATGGTTGGAGAGGTCATAGACCCTGGAGAAGAACCTACTTCTGTCACATCCTTAGACAAATGTAATTCCTTACTATATTCAAAATATATATCCCTATATTTATAGCAAGTGTACCTCTCACCACTCAGAAAAGAAGTTTTTCTTTTCTTCCATAACAGATTAACACTATTACAAAATTCCAAAACTATTCAAAATACAAAGAATAAGTGACTGTAAGTTGCCAAGCCATGAGTGATATATCTACAATGCAACCTCTACACTTAAGCCCCTGAGAACATTGTGGAAAAAAGGGTAGAAAGAATATAAAAGCCAGAGTGAAAAGACACTTGCCATTTATTAATGCATTCTAGACATATGTAAGCTGCTAATGAAAACTCCACAGTATGACAGCCTAACAAGACCTGCATAATGACAAAACCACTTGGCATGCCAAGGTGAATGGTGGAAATTTCAGAAGAATAAGTTTTCTCCAGAGACCAGTTCCTTAGGTTATCTAATCCCAAGCAGTTATCCCTAAGCATAGGTACACACGATATATATATATATATATATATATATATATATAATTGTGACCGAATAAATCATTTTTAAAGGAAGAAATGCTGAGAAGAAGGGGATAAGAAATTGAGCAAGAAAGGGGACCTGGCGAAGTTGTAGGGGAAGTAGAAGTGATAGAAATAACACAATTACAATCCTTATGTATGAAATTCTCCAAAAACTGAAATATTAAAAAATGTGTGCCTGTGATGACATGCAAAGGCAAGTCATAATGTAGACTCATAAACAAATGAATAATTTAATTTACCATAAAACTGAGAACACACATTGGACAAAAAACTTAAGATTTAGATATCATCTCTTCGGACAGGTATGATGGTGCACATCTGTAATCCCAGTACTTGGGAGGTAGAGGCAGGAGGATCAGGAGTTCAAGACCATTGTAGTTTACATATTGAGTTCCAGAACCACCTAGTCTACATGAGACCCATCCCAAATGGGACAAAAATTAAATAAAATATTACCTGATGCAAAACACAACCAAACAACTGGTTCAGCTTTACTAAGAGAAGCTGAAGACGTATTTCAGTGTAGTGGTGAAAATGTGTTTTTTGTTTTGTTTTTAAATTTTTATTGAATTTTTGTGTCTCATAGTATTTTAATCACCTTCCTCCCTTTTCCCCATTGGTCCCCTCCTATGACCCACCCCCCACTGGAGTTCATACATTCTGTCATTTGTGTCAAGGCCTATCATGTCAAGTTAGTGTCCCCAGATGTGCCTTAGTGCAAGTTCATCCACTGAGGTCTAGTCAGTCCATCTACAGTCCCTCCCTTTAAGAAAATCATCTCTTCCTCACCCAGCAGTAATCATTTGCCAATAATTTTTTGACTAAGATTGGGGCTTCTGTTCATAGTTCTGTGCTGAGTTTTTGACTCATTAAGTTCACATGGGTCTTATGCATGCTGATACCATTGTTGTTGGTTTGTATGGGAAGAGTCCCAAAAGCCTGTAGGACTCTATTTCCATATGGTCATTCACCTCTTCCCTGGCTTTCTTTTCCACCCCCTCTTCCACAATGGTCCCTGAGTCCTGGGTAGGTAGATTTTAATACAGGAGTCCTGTCCAAGGACCCATTTTCTACACTTTGTCCATTTGTGATCTTTTGTGTTTCTGGCCCTCTGTTGCATGAGGGAGTTTCACTGATGAGAACTGAAAGATGCATTATTGTTCTTTTCATCCCTTGTTCTATGTTATGTGAGCATTGGGTGTAGAGGTTTAAATATAACCTTAGCCTGAATCAACCAGCCTCTTCTGAATGATAATTTCAAGATGCCAAAATTTGGTGATGCATATGTCTCACAGGAACATTGGGATATACTTAAATTTAAGTGGTACTCAGGACAAAATTCTGGATTTATCATTAACATTTCATTAAAACAAACGGATAGCATGTGATACAAGTGTTCATGCTTGTAGTCCCAGTATTTGGGAGGCAGAAGCAGAAGAACCATTAGTTTAAGATAGAATGAGAGCCTATCTTTAGAAGTCTTTTATTAGCACTTTATGTGTGTGTTTGCTCAACTAGTAGACAAAGCCATGAAACATAGGTGCAAAAATAATCTTTTATAACCAGAGCTCATTGTTCTTTGTGAGACTGACACATATAAGAAGGAACATGACAATAAAAAGAAAGAAAAAAGACAAGATTTAATATTTGACTACCAAATGTTCAGATATATCTAAAAAGTAATAATTCCTTTGCTTGTATATTTTTAAATGGTTCTATCCTTACACAAAGTATGAATATACAAGGGTTAGAGAGAAGGCTCACCAGGCAAGAACATTCCTCTTCCAGAGGAACTGGGTTTGGTTACCAGCACCCGCACTAGCGCTATCAACTGTTAATAACTCCAGTTCCAGGGGATCATGCACCAACACCAGCTCTTACAATCTTTCTGCCCACTCTTCTGCAATGGTACCTGAGTGATTTAATATAGGTGTCCTGTCCAGAGACACACACACTCTGCAGTCTCTTATTCTCTACACTTTGTGGGAGCTGTGGCCTTCTGTGTGCACTCTTAGCAGTGGATCACTGCTAGGTGACGGAGAGTTGATCTTCTTTAAAGGAGAGACTCTAGATAAGCTAGACTTATCTAGACTCGAATGGATAAACTTGCACCAAGGGACATCTGGGCACACAAACGACTTGATGGGCCTTAACATATATAACAGAAAGCATGAAATCCAGTGCGGGGTACAGATGGAGGAGGCAGTCAAAATATGATTAAGTTTTGTAGGAAATGCACAAATTTCAACAAAAATAAGCATTGAGAAAAATTATCAACAACTAAATTATATGAACAGCAATATGGATTAAAAGCATTTGCAAATGTACATTGCATTATGTTCAATAATACTTATGCATATTTTTCATTCAAAAATAAGTCAATATTAAGAGCTAATTATATTTAAGTACTTGAAATATCCAGTAATAAGAAACTGTCAAGAAATCATAATAGATCTTCCATAGTAGATGATTAAGAGATCATTATGAAAAATGTTTACTAACATATGTAAAAATTCTCTCACTCTGTTACAACAAAATGGCACAGACTGTGTGACTTAACAGCAGAAATTTATTTTCTCACACTGCTAGAGACTGGAAGTTTAAGATCAAGGCCCAGTCAATGGATTCTGGTGAAAGTTCTCTCCTCAGCTTTCAGACAAAGCTTTTTGTGACCATAAGCTGGCCTTCATTCCATGCATGCAAAAGAGAAATATTTACATGTATATTTTTCAGGTACTTGTAAGCTAAGTGAATATCTGTGAAATATATGAACAGAGCAAGATCTCTATTGCCTCTTACTCTTTTTACAATGACACTACTCCTGATAGTTTAGGGATTCACCTTTATGAGGTTATTTAAACCTAATTACTCCTTTTAAAGCTCCAACTTCCCAACGGTCAATTGGGATTTAAGGTTTCAACATATGAGCTGAGATATAGATAGCAAAGCTCAATCTATTACAGTACATATAAAATACCACCATGTGTGCCGGGCGTGGTGGCGCATGCCTTTAATCCCAGCACTCGGGAGGCAGAGGCAGGCAGATCTCTGAGTTCAAGGCCAGCCTGGACTACCTAGTGAGTTCCAGGGCAGCTGGGGCTATAGGGAGACCTTCTCTCAAAAAGACCAAAAAAAACCCCACCATGTTCCCCAAAATAGGGGATTACATATTATGTACAAAATATGATCTCATTTTAACAATAAAAATAAAAGCAAAAATGAATACATATCTTGATGTTAATAATCAAGGTCCCAAGAGTTTGAGAAATCTTTTGAGGGGGGCCAGCAAGGTGGCATAGTGTGTTAAGGCATTTGTTGCCAAATGTGATGGTTTGAATGAGAATGTCCCCCATAGGCTCCAAGTATCTGGGCATTTTGTCCCCACTTGTTGGCATTGCTTTGGGCAGTCTTACAGGTATGGCCATGCTAGAGGATGTAAGTCACTGGGGGTGGTGTAGAGAGTTCTTAAGCCTTGCCAGATCTCAAGTCACTCTTTCTTCCTGTGTCTGCTGAAGATGTGAGAGCTTAGCTTCCACTCCTCCTCCATCCACCTCTGCCACCATGCCTCCCTGCCGTGAGGGACTCTTGCCCCTTTGGAACCATAAGCTCAAATAAATTCTTCCTTCTATAAGTCACTTTTGTCAGTGATTCTATCACAGCAACAGAAAAGTGACTAATACACCAAACTTGATGCTCTGAATTCAATTCCCAGAACCCACAAGGTGGAAGGAAAGAAAACTTTTCCAAGTTGTCCTCTGTCCTCCACATGTATACCCACTGTATTATGATAAACACACACACACACACACACACACACACACTCAAAAAATGTGAAAAATTAAGAATTATTTTGAATTTTGCTTTCTTAATTTCAATATAACTTCCATGTAATCAGAAAACTGAATTTAAATTTTAAAATGAGTAAGTTCAATCATAAAAACAACTTCACGTGTGTTAGTATGACTTTATCTCTGTACTCACTAAATCTGCTTGAGTTTCTTGAGTAACATGAAAAAGGGTAAAAGAACATAATATCATTATATGTGCAAAATGAATCTGAGTGAAATCTCAATGGAAATTGAAAATTGATGATGGGTATCAAGGCATACTTAAATGTTTATAATTTGAATAGAGATGAAAGTCACTTCAATCCTGTCCTGTCCTGGGATAGACTGGGCACTCACTATGGGAAGCTAGAAGAAAGATAACTGAAGTTCGCTATTTAGCATTTTGTTAACTGGTCAGTATGAGGTCTGCATTCAAGAAAAAGGTCGCGACATTAGTTACTGTTCCTGTTTCTGTAACTGCATGACAAAAGGCAGCTTAGGGGAGAAAGGGTTTATTCTAGCATACAGCCAAAGGAGACACATTTCATCATGTCAGGGAAAGAATAGTGCCAAAAGCTTGGCACCAAATGGTCACAAGGCATTGGCGATCAGGAGACAGAGACTGGATGGTAGCAGGGCCAGGGTGACGTATTTAAAGCTCACAGTATCTGCCAAAAGATGACAAAACTTTGGGTTCTATGTTTTACTTGTATTAGAGAAAAGAAGTGGATCTGTATTTCAAAAGGAAAATTCTAGAGAGAATCATCTAGTATTAGTAGAATGTAGTTTTCCGTGTGGAAGACACTGAAATTCTTTCCTGAGTAACTGTATTTATGTTTAAGTTTGCCCAGAAACACTTATAGCTCAAAGTAAGCCAGGGAACCCTAATGTGAAAATAATAAACTTCACTTTTCTGTCTTTTTATTTATTATTTCAGAGGCTATATATGTAGGGAGAGTTATTTTTTCTTAGTAATTTCCATTTGCAACAATAAAACTTGTCTTGTTGCCACAACTTTCTGGTATGTTTTTCTGCACACAGTGGGTGCTCAGACTCTGTTGCTGACTAAATGGTATTAAGGGTTGAAGGAAGTGCTATAATTATTTCCACTTGGTTGCCATAGAAACAGCCAGAAAGCCTACTGTTGAAGTCAACCTCTCTTGATTATCTCCCCAGGTAAATGTGAGTACCTGAGGTTTGGGAAGGACAATTTGGCAGAACTCACACTGAGAAGCCCTTCTCACATCTTACCACCATGCCTTTCAAGAAAGTTTCATATTGCTGTGCTTTGTTCCTCTAACTGTATTAGATATTTTGAAGGAGAAATGAATTCTTTATTTTCTACCCTGAACTTACGATTTGCAGATATTTCCCACAAACCCTGAAAGTAGGTGCCTTTATTTACATTTTTAGCAAAAGGAAGTTTTCAAGGTATGGTTGAAAGTCTCATGTCAGGAAATGGCCCTGATTGGTTGACCAGTCATTTGGTATGCAGTTCAATGGTCTTGCTGAACTTAATATACAGTGTCCTGAGTACTTAATGCAACTAAGTCCCAAGAGTCAGCAACAACAAAACACTCAAAGAAGTCTGCTAAATTTGTAAACAGTGTTTGTGAATGCCTAATTAAATCCAAGCTCCTCTTTTCTGCATTTATATGGATGCATTTTAAATTCACACAAATGGGAAGCACTCTAGATGTAACCTTGTTATCTCCTGTTTATCTTTGTATACTAGGTAACTGAGATTTCTCTGGACTCCTCAAGTTTCCTGAATAGATCTGAAGTAGCTTCTAAGCTTATGGCCTAGTAAGGACAGGACAGGGATTCCCCAGCAAGACTGAGAATACATACTCAAGGAACTTTTTTAATATTACAGACATTAATTCTCATTTTAGAACTTTTTCATCGAAATCTCAACAGCAGAGAGCTAAAATTATGACTAAATTAGTCAAATACATTTTTATTCATTTGCTTCAGATAGATGTATATGAATTCTTTGCTTATAATTCGTTCTATTTTTTTGCTTCACACATGACTGTATTTTGTCATTTTCTATTGAATAACGTGTTTTACTTCATGTTTTGAAACCTATATTTTGTGTGTGTATGCCAATTAATTACTTTGTACTATAATTCGATCACTCTTATCTTTTTTCATTAGTAATGTGCTTAAAAATAAATTTTGCTTAAAAAGAAAATTCAAAGTATAAGCTTAAAACCACCACTAAAAAATAACATATCTTGTCATTTTGATTAGATATACATTCAAAAGCCAAAGCTAGAACTAGCAAGTTTATGTTTAAAATAATAATAAGATGATGCTGTACAGCAGTCTCTTCCGTATGAAATAACTACCATTATCATGACTTCAGTTGTGCCTGATCTCTAAACATCTTCACAATTGGGCTTGTTGACAGTTGTGCTCTTTCATTAAGGGAGGGGCACGCAGGGTCATTGGACCTGCACTGGAGTATCCAGCCAGTCTTACCAGCCAACTATATGTAATTTGGGCCTAATCACATATGGTCTCCTGGATTTGGGGAAGGTTAAAGTATACAATCTGGGGAAGGCTAAGAAGAGAAGGCTTGTCCGATGCTGGGCAAAGGCTTTCCAGTGTGCAAAACCTCAGGTCATTCATACACCTCAGCAATCCCTCACTTATCTCGGTAAGTAGGCTCAGTAAATTCATTGGTTTCCCAGTAAACTTTAATCAAACATTGGCTTGACACTAAAACCATAAAAGGGAATAAGCATTGCTTAGTATCCCTGGGAAAAGAATTCTCAC